ACTTGTCTCAGTGATTCTTGTTGGTTTAGTTATAGACGATAGAAGTAAGCAGTTGCTCATAGTGTTAGTGAATTCAGTTACAGGTACCATCTGACTTACGACCAAGCTTGGTTCCGACCAACCGGTCGTAAGTCGAAATGGACATAAGTCGAACCTTACTACTGAATATCAACATCACATTTTTGTAATGACTTTATTTTATTGTTTTGTTTTGGTATTTAATTTTTTTTACTTTACTTTTTATGCTGTTGGTACTGTATTTTATACTGTAAGGTTTAGGATAAACACTGTGTACAGCACAAACAGTTGTTTATTTCCCAGAAATTTGGCATACAAAACACGGTCGTAAGTTGAGTGGTCATATGTTGAGCAGGTCGTAAGTCGGATGGTAGGTGTACTTGTGGTTCGTGTTCATGGATGAGGTTAATGTTGAAGTCACCTGTAGGTGTCAGGTGGTGGTTATTCATCTCTGTGTCAGTTATCATGTTTCTTAGGGTTTCGTTAAATGTGTAAATATTTGAGTGAGGTACTGTGTATATAGTAACTCTCATGGGTTTTTTAATGTTTTTGGACTTGAATTTTGCAAATGTATACAGTGGACCCTCAGTTATTGGCTGTTCTGCTTATTGGCCAACTCTGTTATCAGCCGGTTTTTCGGCTTCCGGTTATCGGCCATTATTTCACTTATCGGCTATATTGGACGTATCCACCGCCAGACGCTCGCACATTCCTGAGTCAGTGTGGCTGTGTCTCTGGGCGAGTGAGGAAGCTTCTGCTCATTCATCCAAACATTTCACTATAATCCATTGTTTGTGGTGGTTATTGATTAAGTGGAATTCCAAAATAAGTAACCATGGCCCCAAAGAAAGTTCCTAGTAAAGTTCCTTTGGTAAAGAAAGTGAGAAACACGATAGAATTCAAGGCAGGCAGGCATAGAGGCAAGGAGTGTAGCAGGCATGCAGGGAGTGTAGCAATGTTTATATGCAATGTATGTTTAATAATAATCACTCTTGGGCACATTAAATGTCTTATTTTAGGTTATTATAGACATTTCCATTAATCCATGCATGATATTTTCTTCAGAATTATATAAGAAACACATTACATAGCATATAGCATATAAACATGCAGTTTTATGTGCTATCGAGTGGAGAGTAAACATTACGTTTACTCTGATTCAGCTTAGAGAAAACTTTGAATCTGGCATCATGCCCAGTAACCGCCCATCGTATGTGTTTGTTTACAATTCTCGGCATGAATTATTCATTACTTCTACCTTTGTTTATGATGGCATCAAAAGGTGGTTGTTAGAAACGATTAAACTCAGTGAACATGGTAATAATGTAGCTGTGTAGTGTAGCCCAGGGGGGGGGAGGGCTACATACGTGTACTGTACCTACATATACCGCTACCTACACTGACTTCCTACAAATACATACTACTCACGTCTCGCCCTACATTAAGAGTACAAATATTTTAAGTTAAGTAATGAATGTACTCATTGTTTTCTGTATGTAAAACTGTAGTTAATCTTTAAAAAATGTATTTTTTTTGCTAATATTTTTGGATGTCTGAAACAGATTAATTGGATTTACATTAATTCTTATGGGGAATAATATTTTGGTTTTTGGCCTTTTCGGTTTTAGGCCAAAAAGGATTAATGGCTTGTTAACCAAAGGGTCCACTGTATTTACCATTTTCGTCCCTGGTGCAGGTAGATTTGATGCTGTGCCACACAACCTATTTGATCGGGCCTACAGTTGTGTATAGTTGTGTTACCTGGTATTGTAAAGATGCTTGCAACGTCATGTTTAAGCCAGGTTTCAGGAGAGTAATGATTGACATAATTGTCTGCAAGGAACTGAATAATGCTAGGAGGTGTGGAAAAAGACTTATGTAAAGTTCAGCACATTTATTAAAGGAAATGTTTTGCCCAAGTGCTTCTTCAATCTAATACAGTAGAAAACTAAGAAAACGTGTATATGTAATGGAGGAGTCAGGTGAATTGTCGCGTGGGTAGAGGTAGTAGTAGTATTAACCCTTTCAGGGTCCGTCCCGTAAGATCCACGCTTTACGTTCAGGGCCCCAAACTGTAGATCTATGCCATGACTCAGCTCACTCTGATAAGCTGTGAGTGGTAAATTTGGGCCTAGATATGAGAGAATATATCTGTGGTATGTGTGCACCACATAAAACAAATCCTGCAGCACACAGTGTATAACGAGAGAAAAAAAACTGAGACTGTGATTTTCGATTAAAACAGCGACTTTGCAGTGTTTTATCATATGTTTTTTATAGTTGTATTTGCGATTTCTGGTCTCATTTGATAGAATGGAAGACATATTACAGAAATGGAGATGATTTTGATTGATTTTAGTACTGGAAATGGCTTGAAACTGAGCTCAAAGTAGCAGAAATATTAAATTTTTGTCGATGTTCAAGAGTAAACAAATGACCTCGCACGTCTGATACACGCCAGCTGGTGGGTTTAATATACATTCACAAATGTGATGATGATATTTATACAATTATTACAATATTGCACAACAGTAAATCTTCTATTTTTTGGTTTGAATAAAAATTCATTGTGAAAAAAAAATAGAAATGGAATTCATTTGTAAAGCCTGAAAACATAACTAATGAACAGAGGAAATGTTAGTTTAGTGCTGGGAATGCCTGCGTTGTTTATTCTGGACCCTATTTTGAAATTGAAATATTTTTGAACTTTGTGTTAAATTGGCCAAATTACCAATTTCCGATCACTTTATTTTGTAGTTGAAACAGTTGACTGGGCGATTTCTTGTGTTCACTCAATAGAATAGAAGTAATACTAGTGAAATAGCTAAGAATTTGGTCGACTGGAATAATGTAATTGGCCTAAAATGGGAGTCAAATTCGGCAAAATCGCCGATTCGTAAATATCGCTGACATATCAAAATTCGCTAGAGCATAATTTCGTCAATTTTCCATCAAATATCGTACTTTTTGTTTTATTACCTTCAGAAAAGTTTCTCTACCGTTTCATAAGAAAAATAACAAATTATTTTTTTTTAAATTCTTGGACACTGGTGCACCCTTTGAAATTTGGCCTCTGGACCCTGAAAGGGTTAACCCTTTCAGGGTCGGCAGGCCCTCTCCTTAACTTGTTCTCAGGGTTGGAAATTTTTTAAAAAGAAAAAAATTATTTTTTCTTGTGAAATGACAGAGAATCTTTTCCCAATCATAATGACATCAAAGGTATGAAATTTGATGGAAAACTTACGGAATTATGCTCTCACGAAGTTAGCGGTCTCGATGTTGATGCATCGGCGATTTCACCCACTTTGAGCCCTATTTTCGGCCATTTCCAATGTACCAGCCGACAAAAATCATAACTATTTTGCTAGAACTCCATTTTTTTCTATAGAATGAGTACAAGAAACCACCCATTTACTGATTTCAACTATCCAATAAAGTGGTCAGAAATTGGTAATTCTGCCAATTTCACACAAATTTCAAAAGATGCCAATTTCCAAGTAGGGTCCAGAATAAACAAGACAGACATTCCTGGCACTAAAATAACATTTTTTCTCTGTTCATTAGTCACATCCCCAGACCTCTGTTACATTTCTTTTGCTTTCCACTTTGAATTTTTTTTCTCACAAAAAATAGAAGATTTAATGTTATGCAGACTACTGCATTAGTGTAGAAATGGTATAAATAATATTAGCTCACTTGTGAAAAAATATTAGACTCACCAGTTGACGTGTATTGGATGCATGACATGATTTGTTTACTTTTGAACTTGGCAAAAATCGAACATTTCTGCTACTTTGAGCTCAGTTTCAAGGTACTTTTCATTATGAAACCAATCAAAATCATCTGAATTTCCGTAATATGTCTTCCATTCTATAAAATGAGACCAGGAAAACTAGAATACAACCATAAATATCATATGAAAATGCACTGCAAAGTCGCTGTTTTAAACCAAAAAACGGTCAGTTTTTTTCTCATTATGCACTGTGTGCTGCAGGATTTTTTTATACTGTGCACACTGACCACATAGACCCATTCTTTCATATGCAGGCCTACCAGCTTTCACTAGATTTGAAGGCACTAGAATTTATGAGTATTAGTACGGCACCAACCCTGGCGTGCAAGCCGTACTAGTACGGCACCAACCCTGAAAGGGGTAGTAGTGGAACTAAGGTGGTGAGACGAATGGCTACAGAGGGACCTGTTGACATGTAACAACAGTTTCCAGAATGGGTAATATCCTGTTGATTAGCAATTTTGAGATACTCTAATTACCAGACTTGCTTTAAAGTGTTACTGACAACAATTAGGGTAGCTTCTATGTATTTTCTCCATCTTAAATCGTCGTCTTTAATCACTAGTTTAGCCTCACTGAATTTCATGAGGTGTTCAACAGTGTCCCTGTGTTGAACACACACTTTTTATGGACCTCCCCAATGCCACAATACCTTCCACAACAGGCAGAGGGTTGGCACATCACTCTCTTATTTTTGTACTATTTCTTTCTTCACTTCTATAGTGTTTCTCACTTTCTTTGCCAAAGGGGTGCCACTAGGAAGTTTCTTTGGGGGCTATGGTGACTTATTTCACAGTTGCACTCAATAAACAGGCACCAAACACAATGAATTAATTGTGAAATGTTTGGATGAGCATGCAAGGTAATGTTCACTCAAAGATAAACAAGCAACCAGACTGGTTCATGAAGCCTGCGCGGGGAAGCAGACAGGTCTGTTACGCGGGACGAAACATGGGGCACAGTGCAAAACTCAGGACAAAATTTAGATGAAAAAATGGTTCTAAACTCGAAGCGTACAATACTCAGGGCAGACGAAACTCGGGGTTCCACTGTATAAGATAACAGATCCAAATTATGCAATTATTAAAGCCAACAATTATTTGCTGAAATCTACTTCTTGTAACATATTGCCTTTGTTATAATTTATTTTTTTAAATATTAATAGGAGATTGGTTCTTGCAATTTACAGGTTGCCTTCTATTTGTCACCACCCACAGCAATTACCACATAAGTGTCACCAAGGACCATGTCCCACCTGCAAGATAACATGCGGAATGAAGCTTCAGTGTGGACGTGGACATATTTGCCCAGTGCCTTGTCATGATGCAGTTCCTGTCAAGGTAATCTAATGTCCTTACACATATTTCATGGTTTTCATAATAAAATGTTTTGCTTAACCCATTCACTGTCGGTCCCATAATATTACGGCTTGCAAGCCAGTGTCAGTCCTGTAATATTACGGCAAAATTCTAGTGGCTTCAAATCTAGTGGGAGAAAGCTGATTGACCTACATGTGAGAGAATGGGTCTGTGTGCTCAGTGTGCGCATTATAAAAAAAAATCGGGGAGCCAGTGGTGCATTATGGGAATGCCATTTTAGTAGGCCTTGTTCACCATGCCTCGTGGTAAGAAATACCTCACTCCCCAGCAAATTGGGACTTCCCAAGTTATAGTTCTAACACAGATGGAAGTGTCAGGTTTGGAAGAGTTTGTGACTGAAAGCAATGCCCAGGATACCGGAAATAGTGCTAAAAACCCAGACGGCCCTCAACCTTCCACCTCTGGTGCTGGCCCGTCTTGTTCATGTTCAGTTGTACCAGGGCGAAAGAGGAAACTCATATTTTCCCATGTCCAGGTCTTAGATGTGAGCAGTGGTGATGATAGTGATTGTGATTTCCAAGCACCTGATTACAATTCCAGTAGCAACCCTGAAGAGGAATATTCTCCAGTGAAGCATCAGTTTACATGAAGCTACATGCATTCTGGTAGTGTGCCATATGCTATTCCAAGAGAAAGAAGTACATTTCAGAGTACATCTTGTGGCCCTACACCAGGAACAGATAGTGAAAATGACAATGATATTGTTACGGTTGGGATGGATAATATACATGCTGTAGCAAGTGGTAGTGGTCCTATGCGTCATGTGGCACCAGCGGCATCCGAGATTGGTAGCCACGCCACTGTCTAAGCACATTCACAACAAGGGCCACTGTCAACCACCCACACACCGCAACAACCTGTACAACTACAACCACTTGTCAGTATCCAGTACCCACCAGCAGACTGCATCTGGGATTGGCTCCCAATCCCCATCACTTTGATGAAACTCAAAAGTTGAATACGGCCATCTTGTACACTTGGTAACAATGCCACTGAACTGCAGTGTTTTGAGTTATTCTTTGATGAACCCCTGATGGACATATTGTCATGGGAAAATAACACATACTTTGATTACACCATGGCAAACACAATTATTTCACCAAGATCATGCCTACACTAGTGGAAGGAGACAACTGTGGCTGAGATGTATCTGTTCCTTGCCACAATAATGCTTATGCCACATGAGTATAAGCACAGTCACATCATACTGGTTGACAGACCGCCTGATTTCAGCCCTAGTTTTCAGTGATATAATACCAATGAATCGATTTCTGCTACTATCACGTATGCTACACTTCTCAGACAAAACAAGGCCTGACAAAAATGACAGGTTATATAAGATCAGGAATGAGTTTATGTATCTCAAACAAAAGATGTCACATTGTTGACATCAGTTCACTGAAATGAAATGACACAGTGGCAGGCAGAATAGAGAGACCAATGAACCCATTCTAAAACCTGCAGCTGTGATGGACTACACCCTCAATATGCATTCAGTGGATAAATGTGACATGCAAATTGGGTTTGCCGATTGTGTTCGCAAGAGTTCTGAGTGGTACATTTAACTCCTTTTCCATCTTGTGGACATTTCCATGCTCAGTGCTTATAATATGTATAAGATGAGGACCAGAAACAAACCACCATATGGTATATGGTGAATTTTGTTTGTCTGTCATCAGACATATAATAATCAAGTACCAAGTAACAAAACCTGCAATAGAAAACTGCTCATGAACTTATCACCAAATACCCTCTCGTTTGAGGCCTGGTGATCACTACCTAATACAACTGCCTCCTACTAAGAAGAAATTTGCTCAGAAGAGGTGTTTTGTCTGTGCACATGCAACAAGAAACCCACTAAAATGCAGACACACTCGTTTTATGTGTGAGGAGTGTAACTCACCACTGTGTATAACACCATGTTTCAATGAGTTCTACATCCTGCAGTACTTCTAGGAACATGTCCAGTGACTGTGTGTGTACAGTGGACCCTCGGGTAAAAGCTTCATTGGTTAGCACCAAAATCGGCTAATGGCTCGCTTTGGAGTTAAAATATTGTCTTGGCTAATGCCAAATAACTCGGTTAAGGGCTTTTGTCCCGAACATGTCCGCTCAGCTTGAGCGGGCCCGGACACTCCATGACTCCGTGTACAGCCAGTGTGCCATTGTTTACAAGCCAGCCCAGACGATTCCACGCATACATGCGATGTATTTTGTATTATTCCATTGTTTTTAGTGTTTGTAACTGCTAAATAAGCCACCATGGACCCCAAGAAAGCTTCTAGTGCCAGCCCTGTGGTAAAGAAGGAAAGAAGCACAATAGAATTCAAGAAAAAAAATCGTAGCAAAGTACCAAAGTGGAGGAGGAAGAGAGAGGAGTGAATGTGCCTTCTGCAGTGAATCAGTGATTCTACGATATGTACGATATGTACTAAAGAAGCAGGTATCGATAAAGGCTATAGTGCCAGCCAGTGATAAAGTGTAGACTTAATAGTGTAACAAGTAAGGTAAGTGAGTAAGCGATAGAAAAATGACACGAAAGGGTTGTTGGATGTTTATAGGGCCAACGAACATATGCCGGCTTGCTATCTTCCACCACCGTAAACCTCTGCCAGCATCGCCTCCATCAAACTAACTAATTAAACTAACATCTCCTCCAAGGTAAGTGTAAATATAAAGTAAATATAAGTGTAAGTATAAAAGGACCCCAATGGAAATACACAAGTCACTCTGACTTTTTTGGGTTATCCTAGGTACTTTACACATGTTCTGCTATGTATGATAATCTATGTACATAACTGTATTTGTGTATACCTGAATAAACTTACTTATTTATAAATTAAAATGTAAATCTTTCTTATTTATAAATTAAAATGTAAATCTTTCTTATTTATAAATTAAAATGTAAATCTTTCTTATTTATACTTTACATGCATTGTTTAACTCTTTGAGGGTCGACAGGCCCTCTCCGAAACTCATTCTCAGGGTCGGCCAAATTTAAAAAAAAAAAATTCTTATGAAAAGATAGAGAATCTTTTTCCGATCATAATGACACCAAAAGTATGAAATTTGATGGAAAACTTACGGAATTATGCTCTCGCGAAGTTAGTGGTCTCGGTGATGTTTGCGCATTGGCGATTTTGCCCACTTTGAGCCCCATTTTCGGCCAATTCCACTGTACTAGTCGACAAAAAACGTGAATATTTCGCTAGAACTCCATTTTTTTCTATCGAATGAGTGCAAGAAACCACCCATTTACCAATTTCAACTATCCAGTACAGTGGTCAGAATTTAGCAACTTTGCCAATTTCACACACATTTCAAAAGATGCCAATTTCCGAATAGGGTCCAGAATAAACCAGAAAGACATTCCTGGCACTAAAATGACATTTCCTCTGTTCATTAGTCACGTCTCAAGGCCCCTCTTACATTCTTTTGCTTTCCACTTTGAATTTTAATTCTCACAAAAAATAAAAGATTTACTGTTATGCAGACTACTGCGTTAGTGTAAAAAATGGTATAAATAATATTGGCGCACGTGTGAAAGAATATTAGACTCACCAGTTGACGCGTATTGGACGCTTGGCATGATTTGTTTACTTTTGAACTTTGGTAAAAATCGAACATTTCTGCTACTTCGAGCTCAATTTCAAGGTACTTTTCATTGTAAAACCAGTCAAAATCATCTCAATTTCTGTAATATGTCTTCCATTCTATAAAATGAGACCAGGAAAACTAGAATACAACAATAAATTCCATACGAAAATACAGTGCAAAGTCACTGTTTTATTCCAAAAAAACGGTCAAAGTTTTTTTTTTCTCATTATGCACTGTGTGCTGCAGGATTTTTTTTATACTGTGCACACTGACCACATAGACCCATTCTTTCATATGTAGGTCTACCAGCTTTCTCCCACTAGATTTGAGGGCGCTAGAATTTAGGCGTTCTAGTACGTCAAAAACCCTGGGTCGTAAGCCGTACTAGTACGGCCGAAACCCTCAAAGGATTAAGTGTGATAGTGTTGGTGGGTTCTGCTGTTGCCCCCACCACCACTATGTACAACTTCTCTCAGTGGCCCCTTTAAACCAAACAACAACACTTCCATCACTTTACTCCTCTCATACATTATGACATATTGATTCTAGAGTATATATACATGTATCATGTTTCTATGTTATTAATATTGTTTATTATGTCATATTAGATGAATTGTGATAGACAAATAAGCCATAGAGATTATATTAGCATCATATTGAAGCATAATAAACTCGCCTCCTACCTGTCTTCCATACACCAACAAGAGTCAATAAAGGTAAGTGTGATGTTAAATGTTCATTTATCCATTTTATTAGTGCTTTATATTTATTTGTCATTGTTTTCTGTATGTATATTTAATCTTTAAAAAAAAATATATTTTATTAATACTTTTGGCTGTCTGAAACAGATTAATTGGATTTCCATTATTTCTTATGGGGGAAAATTAATTCAGCTAAAGGCTAGCTTTCTGGAATGGATTAAAGGCGTTACCCGAGGGTCCACTGTGTATGTATTATAGAACAATAGTAATAAAAAAAAATTTTAATTGTTCGTTTGAGTAAACAAGTTTTGTAAACGATATAATGATGTTTGTGTGGCTACTGTGTTGCATATGAGTGGATATACAGTGGACCCTTGGTTATCAGCCGTAATCTGTTCCAGAAGGTCAGCCTAAATCTGAAAAGGTCAAAAACCAAAATAATATTTCCCATAAAAATTACCCCTTAAACTGTCCAAACGTAGATCTATGTTCATGTGTGGGGGGGGGGGTCTCCGAACGTAGATCTACGTTTTTTTTACATGCTTTCAAATGGGGAATATAAAGGTTGGAGTGCTACGCATGTGAACATAGATCTACGTTTGGACAGTTTAAGGGTTAATGCAAAAATACATTTTTTAAAGATTAACTATAGTTTTACATTCA